GCCCAGGGACCCCGTGCTCCGGGCCCCCATGCTCCGGGCCCCCGTGCTCCCGGCTCCCGTGCTCCCGGCCCCCATGCTCCCGAGGGGAGTTTCAAGTGGGAGAGTGTCCTCAGAGGACACAAACAAATGAAAATAGCTGTGATTTCTCAGGGCTCCGCTGCACACTTCATTCTAACACAAAGCCCCTGTCTGCTCTACAGCCTTATATTTCCTTTGCCCTTTTGGTATTTATTCAGCGCAGCCACTTTTGCCCTCAAGCCTTTGCCGTTCACTGACACGTAAGCGCAGCCCGAGCACCACCTGTGTCTCTCACCATCATTCACGGTGGTGAGAGGGGGTTTAACACTACTATGGAGAGAACACAGGTCATAAGTGAGCTGTGCATCACTTATCTGTAGTTTCTCTCAGCTGCTTTTCACATCTATAAAGCAAATGGTTCACGCCAGGATTGTGGACAATCCACTGTTTTAAGATGTATACAGGTCTAGGGTTCAAGAGTAAAAGCACAACTGTTTGGTATGCTACCAAAATGACAGGGAAAAGTTTTCAAGTTGACAGTCCCATGGGACATAATCCGGCTTTCATGAACTCCCCCCCCCCCACCAGCCTACAGTCCCAGGGAGAAGGGCCGGGTCTCAAGCAATAACAGGAACTGCAGGCAGCGCGGCCCACCCTCCTGTAAACACCCGGGGAAGCGCTCGCTCTCCCGGTGAAAGCAATGGTCTCAGTGATTGCCCTCCGGGCAGGGACCAGCTACAAACAGGGAAGGAAAAGGCCCTCCGTCCCAATGTCTTCTCCCTTATTCGTGACCTAAGTAACCACGGGCTCCAGGAAGAGTTGCACGTGAATGAAACGGGGACGTCTGCTGTAGAAAATACTTCTCACTTATCTTACATCCAGTACATGTAACTTAGAGAACAATTTCAACCATTTCCAACAACTGTATATAGTATCACTACCATGATGACCCAAACATTAATGTTCGTGATAGTAGCTGTTGGCAATGATGCTATCGAAGATAACAACCCCTTCCTCTAGACCAGTGGTTCTCAACCTTGGCTGCACATTAGAATCACCTGGGAATCTTTTTAAAATCCTGATTTCTGGGCCTCAGCCTCCGGAAATTCTGTTTCTTTGTTAATGTTGTGGCCCCACCCCATAACAAAGAAACAGAATTTCTGGAGGATGAGGCCCAGAAATCAGGATTTTAACAAGATTCCCAGGTGATTCTAATGTGCAGCCAAGGTTGAGAACCACTGCTCTAGCCACCCATAACATTCCTGCCCAGGGAGACTGGGAGCGCCCGTGACCCAAGCCGAGAAACCTCCCTGTTTGTACACAGTGTTTGTATAACATGGTTTCAGGTACCAGAGACTTGGTTCCAGTCAGTGCCTGCCAATCAATGACTTTAAAATCAAGCCAAGTGATTTTTATAAAACTAACAGTGGCATCTTTAAAATGGAGTATTTTGTCTTGGATTTATATGAAAAAGTTCTCAAATCACATAGAATCGAGGCCAGAATAACTAGATTTTTGGAGATAGGGGTATTTATTAGAAGAAACACAACACCCCAATACTTTACTTGGTTATTTATTGCAACATGAGGTGTGATGCCAGTACCTGAATAATAGGTGGATAATATAAAGTGGTGCATAATTATCCAATATTTGCTGAATTCTATTAACTTTATGGTGTTGCAAAGAAAGAGATGAGTGGGAGTCGGTCATGCTTGTGATGCAATGTTTGTTCAGCCCCTCAAGCGGGCAGGTTCTGCTCATTGATTTAGGCCGTGACAGTCAGGTTCAGACTTTGTTAGTGAAAAGGCCTCAGGTGAAATATGACAATTCATGCAGCGATTTATTAATTCTCACCCCCCCCTATTGAATTTCAGGAAGGGAGAGGGAGAGACACACAGAAAAAAACATCAGTGTGAGAGAGACGCATCTATTGGTTGCCTCCCAACCAGGCCTGGGACTGAGCCTGCAATCCAGGTACGTGCCCTTGAGGGGAATGGAACCCGAGACCCTTCAGCCTGCAGGCAGATGCTCTAACCACCCAGCAAACGAGCTAGGGCTCCTGCAGTGATTTAAATGAGAAACATTTCTTTCTAATCCTCTGGGTCCTGACTTGCAATGTTAACAAAGGTCAAATGCATTTTGTGTTTTGAATATCATCTCAGAATATAGGAACTATGTTCAAAACTGCATGCTAAGTACTGGGGGGCCAATCTGGTGGACTGGGTGTCTGTCCTGAAGGCCTTTCCATTTTAAGGGGAGGGATGAACACCAGTGCTGTCGCAGGGCTCTCCTGCTCACAGCTGGTCAACTGAGGTGGACCTGCCCATCTGACGCTTTGTGGGTAGGTGGGGGGGCGGTGACCTCCGATGCCCACTCTAGGTCTGAAAAATCGAGTGGGCTACCTTTTAAGAGAAGATGGATGACTAGCTAGAACTGGTTATTTAAAAAACAACAACACATGCACGGAGTCGTCTTGCCCTCGTCCCTCCTAAAAATGGTTAAATCACCAAAAACAATGGGATCAAACCCAGTTTACTCACTGGTCGCTCCAACACTTAAAAAAATCAAACCAACATTTTTTCTAATATAGGTCGTAGTCCATCGTGTACTTTGAATTCTCGTCCCCCTCTGCCAATTCCCAGGGCTCAGGGCGAACCACTCGCAGGCGAGCTGTGCTATTGCTCTCGCGAAAAAAACTATTTTCTGGGTCCATTTGAGTACAGATCCGTTCATGTACACAAAATTGCAAAGTCAAGAATGTGAAGAACTATGTTCTGGAAGAAATATTTGCAAAGGAGACGGAGAGAAGTAGTATTTTTAAGGAAAATCGGAAAGTTGTCTCTGTTTGACCGAAGTTTTCAAGAGAGTTGGGGGAATCGGGAAAGTTTCAGGGGGCCGGCGGCGGAGCTGGGCGCGCCGGAGAAGGCAGGAAGGAAGCCTGAAGGCTCTCGGACCCGTTTCCCCCAAATCCCTCATGATTTCGTGCACAGATTTCTTATATTTTTCTCCTTTTTTAAGGGGCAAGAAACACAGCAGCCGGGCAGAGCGGAGGAGCCGGCTAGGCTGCGCGGCGCACGGAGCCGCCAGCCAATCACCACCCAGCGCCTCGCTATATAAACCCCCGCCGCCCGCGCCAGGCCACGCTCCTCTGACAGTTCAAGTCTCCTGTGCTCTTTCCGGCCGAAGCTGAAACATGTCGGAGACGGCGCCCCTGGCTCCTGCCGCTCCCGCTCCTGCGGAGAAGACACCGGTGAAGAAGAAGGCGAAGAAGACGGGCGCAGCCGCCGCCAAGCGCAAGGCGTCCGGGCCGCCCGTGTCCGAGCTCATCACCAAGGCGGTCGCCGCCTCCAAGGAGCGCAACGGGCTCTCGCTGGCCGCGCTCAAGAAGGCGCTGGCGGCCGCGGGCTACGACGTGGACAAGAACAACAGCCGCATCAAGCTGGGCCTCAAGAGCCTGGTGAGCAAGGGCACCCTGCTGCAGACCAAGGGCACCGGCGCCTCGGGCTCCTTCAAGCTCAACAAGAAGGCGGCCTCCGGGGAGGCCAAGCCCAAGGCCAAGAAGGCGGGCGCGGCCAAGCCCAGGAAGCCCGCGGGCGCGGCTAAGAAGCCCAAGAAGCCCGCGGGGTCCGCCACCCCCAAGAAGAGCGCCAAGAAGACCCCGAAGAAGCCCAAGAAGCCGGCGGCGGCGGCGGGAGCCAAGAAAGCAGCCAAGAGCCCCAAGAAGGTGAAGGCCGCCAAGCCCAAGAAGCCGGCGAAGAGCCCGGCCAAGGCCAAAGCCGCTAAGGCCAAGGCCCCCAAGCCGAAAGCTGCCAAGCCCAAGGCTACGAAGGCCAAGAAGGCGGCGCCTAAGAAGAAGTGAAGCTACCGCGGCAGGTCCTGCTTTAAAAATCTCAAAAGGCTCTTTTCAGAGCCACCCACTAATTTCAGGAAAAAGAGCTGAGCTGGCTCCATTTTGGTTGTGTTTTCCTTTAAGTGAATGATTCCCTTAACTGGGGAGGGTAGGTGGGGTGGTGGTGGTGGTGGGAAACAGTGGCGTGAGCGCTGTTGGGTTCCCGGGAACAATCATAGTCGATTTCGGGAAATCGGTGGCTCTGGGAAGAGCCGTTGGCTTCCGGTGCCAGGGATAGTGGTCTTACCTGTTCACTTGACCTTGACCTTGTGGCTCTCGGTCTTGGGCTGCAGCACAGCCTGGATATTGGGCCGGACACCGCCCCGCGCGGTAGTCAAACTGCCCGGTAGCTTGTTGAGCTCCTGGTTGTTGCGGTCCGCCAGCTGTAGGGGGCGCCTCGGAGTCTTGCCGCCCCGCTTCCCGCGCGCAGACTCGTTAGAAGGGGAAAGTGTAATCATTGTAACAAGCCGATCCGCGGAAAGGGTTATTCAAGTTTCTGTGTGTTTCCTAAACTTCCCTTCCCCAGTGGTTTGCAGAGGTTATTGAGAGCTAATCGGAACGTCCCCGTGCACTCACGCGCATGGGCTCCAGAGAAAGTACCCATTAGAGAGATTGCGATGTTAAGTCTTGTATATTCTGTGAGGCAGTTGAAACCCTTGCATTTTTTCCCTCTTGAGGTCAGTGGAGTTCTTTTTGGGGAAGAGTATCCACTGTTATTCTGCCCATGATTGAGCTGCCACCCTGAGGCTGAAGGACAGTGAACGTGGAAGTCGCCCTCCTCTGGGGGGTTGTAAGTGGCCCCCTTAGCCCGATTTCTTCCCCGCAGATGGTGGCGAGGACCTACGGAGCCGTAGTCTCCTGCTGAGCAGGCAAGGAATTGGAGGGTAAAGAAAACAAAAACGCTCTGGAAGGCAGGGCAGTGTGGCTGGCAGAGAACTGGATTGGGGGTGGCCAGGGCACAGAATATGGGCTCTCGGAAGAAGAGGTTCACTTGTCTCACCATTTCCACTTTATGTCTGGGACTGAGCTTTTATTATTATTAATCATTTATTTCAGGGAAGTTCACTTAATTTTACTGGCATATCTGACAAAATCTTCAGTTCTACAGAACATTTGGGGGCGTGAACCTGGGTGGGGGAAACATTTTTCAGGGACTCTCAATGCAATTCAGCATTTCTTTCAATTATGTGTGTAGGCAACTAATCACCATGGATTCTGCAGTACCTGTGACTCCTTCAGCAGGGCAGTCACTGATGTTTTTGCATCACTCTGCAGTGATTGCAAATATCTTGGAAATAAAATTTATGCTAAATTTTTGAAAATGATATTGGTTATTCCTTGCTGCTCCTTGTTATTTGATGTGTTATTAATGAAACGCATTATTTTACAAGCTCAAATACACTCTGGGTATGTTTTAATGTTGCTTTCTTATCCTGTATGCATCAAGTACTTAACCAACATCCTTTTGAAAACAACATCCATAGAGTCTACAGAACAAAAGGAGTCTTGTATCCCTAAGCCCATTTCCAGGGGGCACAGATATCTTGGTGGAATGTCTCTTCACCTTATACTTTGTTTATAACACCCCCTACTGGATTACAATTTAATTTTTACTATCTTATTTTTTTTTAAAGTATGTAGCCTGTAGCAGGTGTCTTCTAACCAGTGCAAAATGTTCCCAGTGACAGCTGCAGCTCATAATTTCTTCCTACTTTCCACTTGAGAAAGAATAAATACCTGGGTAAATGGGAGAATGTGAGGTTGTTACTCAAAAGAATCTTTTTGAAAAGAAGAGACTACATGGAGTAGGGAACACGGGAAAACAGCTGTGAGGTCTTTAATAACCAGAATGAGAGGCTTTTGATGAAGAGGGACGAGGAATAAGAATTACGGGGGGAATTAGTCATTCACTGAGTGGTCGAAGTGACCATACACCACCGCTGAAATCCCTTACAGTTTACAAAGCACATCTACGGCTGCCTCACTAGGAAGCATTTGCATCAGGTCTGATTGAAATGCTTGTTTTACAGTTAAGAAAACTGTGGTTTAGAAACATGAACTGGGCAGAATCGCCTTCCTGGTGCTTGACCAGAAAAATCACACACTGGTGAAGATTATGTATGTTTCGGGGAGGGGTCGAGACTGCAATTAGGTCAGGTATTAAATCTGGGTTTGGTGTCTGGGGCTTTTAGCACCAGTGATGCCATTTGGGGGCTTTGGTGTTTGTCCCTCACCATCTACACTAATGACGTACCAAGCCCGCTGTCCAAAACACCATGGATTATTTATTAACAGCCAAGAACCCATCAGGAAATTTGAGATTACAAATATCAAATTTTGAAATGCAGTTTACTTTTGAGGTAGAGGCAATACCTACAAATGAATATACTGACATAGAACAAACCTCAGCCAAAGGGATATGCCACCACCAGCACGGCCAGAACAAAGCCAACCCTGCTCCCTGTTTGTATGAAAAGCAAATAAAGTCCATTGACCCAATCTCCCCGAATAGTGACATCCTACACAATAACCAGGCAATGGAATTGGACAAAATACTCTTATCTAGACTGCAGTGCAGGCCTCATTCACTCCTCACGTTTCACATGGGCTCCCATGGGTATGTGTACTCGCAGATAGCCCTCGGTAGTATTATCCCACGTACCTGCTGCTTCACTGGTTGAGGACATGCAGCGAGGGGGAGATACTCAACTTCATCGGGTGCAATTCTGCACAGTGAGTGTGCATTTAATTTGCCGCAACAAGCCCTTAACTCCTTATTAGACCTTTAGTTATTACAGGCCTCATTTGGTGCAATAGCAGTGCCCCAGCTCTATCACTGACAGCAGAGCCACGCACTCTGCCGGAAAATGCAGCGCAAGCTGCCTCAGCGACAGCCGGCGAGTCCTCGGGTAGAAAATAGGGCGGCCACAGCACCACTTCCACGCAGCTGCCCCAGCTGCTACCCGCCCCCCTACAGCCTTGTTTGGGGACAGACGTCTCTCCTTGGCTTACAGCTCTTCCATTTAAGCGGTAGGCGGCTCTGAAAAGAGCCTTTGGGTTTCAGCGCAAGTGGGTAGGACGGAGCTCACGCCCGCTCCCCGCGGATGCGGCGCGCGAGCTGGATGTCCTTGGGCATGATGGTGACGCGCTTGGCGTGGATGGCGCACAGGTTGGTGTCCTCGAACAGCCCCACCAGGTAGGCCTCGCACGCCTCCTGCAGCGCCATGACGGCCGAGCTCTGGAAGCGCAGGTCGGTCTTGAAGTCCTGCGCGATCTCGCGCACCAGGCGCTGGAAGGGCAGCTTGCGGATCAGCAGCTCCGTGGACTTCTGGTAGCGGCGGATCTCGCGCAGGGCCACGGTGCCGGGCCGGTAGCGGTGCGGCTTCTTCATCTTGCGGGCGGCCTTGGTGGCCAGCTGCTTGCGGGGGGCCTTCCCGCCCGTGGACTTGCGCGCCGTCTGCTTGGTCCGAGCCATTACTGAGGAGCCGAGTCGGTGGGATGAAGGGGGCGTCCGGACGCTGTATTTATATGGGAGCAGAATCGCTCTGATTGGCTGGAGTTAATTTCAGGACGTGATCCCGCCGTATTAGGGTGGGATTTCCGTTCCGTGCGAGTCTCTGATTGGTCAATTTGAAGGACGTCTTCCCCGCCCCTCAAATAAAATTATTTTCTTATGAGTTTCATCAGTGATGCTCCCACGTCTACAAAGTCTGACCCACGGACAGATTTATTATTATTGAGCTTTTCTCCTGTTTGAAAAAAATGTGTTTGAAAGAGAAAGAGCTTAATTTTTGTTGAAAGAAACACCGGCATTTTGTGCGGTTAACCGGTTTTCTTCCGGCTCCTGTTACCCGCCCCGCCCCTCCCCGCCCCCCAGTTAAATCCATTGTCGGAGCCTCTCCCGGGATCGATTTCACTGTATTTTCGGTAAATTCCCAGTTCATTGTAGCAGGTGCTTCTAGGATATACTGTGAAGACGTGCAGAATGCTGTATCATTCAGGGTTCATGCAAAGTCCCATTTCCTGGGATCCCTGGCCCTATACTTTAGAGTTGGACTCCAAATGGTCATTTGACTCCGCCGTTAGGTTTGGATGCATTTACAATGTCAGCTGGGCTGTATAAGCAGGAACGGATGAAAAGCATTAAAAAAAAAATAAAGGAAGGAAGGAAGGAAGGAAGGAAGGAAGGAAGGAAGGAAGGAAGGAAAGAAGGAAAGAAGGAAGGAAGCATTTGCAATGTGGAACCTGAAGGAAGGAAGGAAGGAAGGAAAGAAGGAAGGAAGCATTTGCAATGCGGAACCCTGGAATAGATGGCAGCAGTATTTTGTGTGATTGGCTTATTTCCTTCCAGTTTCATCCATGTTGTAGCAGATGTCAGGTTTCAAGAAGGTGACTTTTGAGTTAATTCCTGAAGGAGTGACGGAGCTAGAGCAAGGCCCTGAGGCAGGGAGGGAGCTGGTGTTAGATAAAAAGGCCATTGCAGCTGGGAGGTGGGAATGGGGTGGGGTGGGGGAGTAAGAGCAATAAGGCAAATTTTGTAGCATATCAGGGTTTTGGCTTTGTTAAATGAAAGTAAACAAAATAAAAGTTATTTATTTCGAAGAAGAAAAAATAAATAGATGGCAGCGATCCAGGGTCTTCAGTGAACAGTTACTCAAAATGTTTCTGGCGGGAGAGACCGGGGTGTCCTGTACAATTTGTGACAAAGCCCGTGAAGCTGTGCTCAGGGCTGCACTCGGCTACACGGCAGGATTTCCTGCCTTGGCTTTCACGTCCAAGGCGAAGGTTTCCACTGATTTTCAAAATTAAAAATGGTTCTATCATAAAAATATATTTTTTAAGAAATTGATTTTACTTATAGGATTCCCTGAAAGTGTTTGTTTCATCCAATAGAAAAGGAGTTTAGGAATACCTAATATATATTCTATTCACACTTTGGCCAGTTTGGGTCCAATCAGAGTTTATGTATTTATTTATTCATTTATTTTTTCCAATTAGAGTTTAGATTTGTGAGTCTTTGCATCTGGGTACCATAAGTACCCGGGTTTCCCCTTTGTTCTGTTTCCGTTGGCCTCCCACATTTCTTGCCCTTATAATTCCATACCATGCCTGATCCAGCAAAATCCACGCCCGCCCCGAAGAAGGGCTCCAAGAAGGCGGTGACCAAGGCGCAGAAGAAGGACGGCAAGAAGCGCAAGCGCAGCCGCAAGGAGAGCTACTCGGTGTACGTGTACAAGGTGCTCACCAGGTGCACCCCGACACCGGCATCACTGAGTGAAATAAATAGAATTTCATTACCATTTCAGGGACCTCGCCGTGTTAAGAGTAACTACGTTTAAAGGCTTTTTAAATAAATATAAATTTAATCATTTTAGTGAATTTAAAGAGTTGTGCAACCATTACATTACAATTTTATTTTATTTATTTTTAAAAATATATATTTTTATTGATTTCAGACAGGAAGGGAGAGAGAGAGGTAGAAATATCAATGATGAGAGAGCATTATTGATCCGCTGCCTCCTGCACGCCCCCCACCTGGGATCGAGCCCAAAACCCAGGCACGTGCCCTTGACCTGAACTGAACGCAGGACCCTTCAGTCCACAGGCTGAAGCTCTATTCACTGAGCACAACTGGCAATGGCAGCTTTTTAATAATTTAATATGTTTGCTTTCAACTCATAATCCTCACAGTTCAAGACCAGTGTATTTTTTTTGATTTAGATAAAAAGCAGATGTATAGAGAAAAAAAGCAGATAGTCCTGTTGTATTTCAAAACCATGAAATGTGGCCGCCAGTGGCAGAGTGAGCTGTGTGGTGTACATACCCAGGCACGTAAAGACTCCCGGCAGGTGGCGGAAGGTGAGGCAGGGAGGTTAAGCCTCTCCTTGGTCTGGACAAGGGGGTTGGCGTTGTCGGTCATTGTAGCCCCAGAGGGTTTTTAAACCCTTGTCCCTGGCCCCGCTCTCCGTGCCTGTACCTCAGACCCCAGAGCTCAGAGCTCACGGGAAGAGGGCGGTGAGGTCACTGGAAGTGGCTAATCCAGAAACAACTATTTCCACCTGCAGAGACATGCACAGCGGCCTCTGACATGGGTTCTTCCTCGTATTCTTTCAATGCAGCGCAGGTTTTAGCTTCAATGCGTTACTTGCAGCTGGAGTCTCTCCTCGTTCCTGAGTTCTGCTTTTCACCTGGTAACTGTCCTCCAAGATTTCTTGGGGGAATGGGCACAGTTCCTCGCCTGGCTTCATCTACACTGACAAGGAGAATGCAGAGCTGCAACCCGGATGGGCAGAGGAGCAAGTGAGGGCCAGGTCGGGACGGCGGTCATTTGACCTCGTCCTCAGCGCTGTCCCTTCAGGATATACTTAGCGGCCAGATGCTGCTTTCAGCATTGGGGGTGCATCAGCGAGCAAATTAGATAGAATGTGGGAGTGAGGGTGCAGATTTCCTACGTGGAGGGGAGGGTGGCAGCTCCCACAATCGGTCAACTAGCTTTTTAAAAAAATATTTTTATTGCTTTCAGAGAGGAAGAGAGACAGAAACATCAATGATGAAAGAATCACTGATCGGCTGCCTCCTGCACGCCCCACACTGGGGATGGAGCCCACAACCCGGGCCTGTGCCCTGACCGGGAATCGAACTCTAACTTCCTGGTTCGTAGGTCGATGCTCAACCAGAGCCACGCGGGCCGGGCTCCAGATCCTTCTAATGAGGATTTGCTGTAACAAACCACAGGCACAATGCGTGTTTAAACTCTGTGATCCGTCGGTTTCAGGACCCATATATTCCTAGTCTAAGCCTCTCGCCTGAACTCGCGCATCTCACACACCCAGCTGCCGAGCCAGCCTTTGCTCCAGGGTCAGGGGGAGCCCTCGGCCCAGGGCCGGGAAGCAGGCGGTTTCCTAGGCAGCCATCAGCCCTTCTCTCCAGCAGGCAGGTTACTAAAGTGACTTTTTTTCCTTTCTCAGTCTGAGGATATACCGTAAAAGCTTTTTATAATCCTATTGTAGAGTTTGAATTATTCACAATAATAATAATAATAATAATAATAATAGCAAAACTTCCCCAGAACTTGCAGCAGGCCGGCTTCCGGGCTGAAAGGCGGAGGGAGGGGAGAGCAGGGGCCGCAGGGCAGAGAGGCTGTGCCCGGGGGGAGCCCCTCCTTCCCAAAGGTCAGGTGAGGCCTCGGGCTGAATTAGACACCAAGTTAGAGCCGCGCCTTCTGGTCTAGTGGACGGTGATTCACACTCTGCTCCGCCCGGGGTTTGGGGAGGGTCCGGCCTGCAAGTGAATAGAAAGTACAAGGCCCTGCGCCATTTAAACCCAGCACCGCCGGGCTAGGGGAGGGGGCGGGGTGAGTCCAAAGTGTGCGGATCCTCCGGCTGGAAACTCATTGTAATAAAACCTGCTTCCCCTTCCACCTCTCCCGCCGCCCCGACTTGCAGCCTCATTCCGGGCTGTACCCCAGTTCCCTCGCGATGGGCCGAGGGCGCGGAGGAGCCCCCATTGGGCCTGAAGCTTCTGCTAAAGGTTATGGCCGCACCGACATCAAACACGACAAAACGTAGCCACAGGAACGAGCACCGCAGCGCGCAGCTCTTCCGAGAGGGGGTGGGCGGCCCTGAAAAAGTAAAGCCACAGCTCTTTCAAAGGAACGGATGGGTGGCCCTAAAAAGGGCCGTTGGTTTTGCTGAAGAAGCCAGTAGGTGGGTGGCTCAGCCGCCGAAGCCGTAGAGGGTGCGGCCCTGGCGCTTGAGCGCGTAGACCACGTCCATGGCCGTGACCGTCTTGCGCTTGGCGTGCTCCGTGTAGGTGACGGCGTCGCGGATCACGTTCTCCAGGAAGACCTTGAGCACCCCGCGCGTCTCCTCGTAGATGAGCCCGGAGATGCGCTTGACGCCGCCGCGCCGCGCCAGGCGCCGGATGGCGGGCTTGGTGATGCCCTGGATGTTGTCGCGCAGCACCTTGCGGTGGCGCTTGGCGCCGCCCTTGCCCAGGCCCTTCCCGCCTTTGCCGCGACCGGACATGGTGACCAAGGAGAAATGGCGAACAGGCAGCCGAAACCCTATTTATAACCCGGCCGGCGAGGGTGGGCGGGGCCTAGGGTCAGTCTCCGCCCCGCGCGTCCCGGGTCTTTGGGCGGGGCCGGCGGAGACAAAGGCGGCTCCGTGCGCCCCGCTCCTTCCCGATCCATTGCCAAGGCCCCGTGGAAGGACCTTTTAAAAATGCTGTTGTGTATCAACGTCCCGAGATGATTGTACCTGTCAGACTAGCGTGTCTTTCCGGGTTAAACTATTGGGGTCTTACTCCCCGCGGAGCAGGCAGAGGCCATGATGGCACATGGGCTGGTGCTTTAAACGCCGCCTAATGGGAAAAGTCCCGGCTCCTCTCTCCCGAGAGGCGTCTTTGTACACTTTACAGGAGGGTCAGGTGGCGATGTCGGGGCGTAGCTCCCGGGATGCAGGAAAGAGCTGGAATGACCTGGGGTGCTTGTCCTTGGGGGCCTGGACCCCACTGCGTGGGCCTCAACGTTCCCTGCACCCCGCCTTCTGAGGTCCTGGACCCGGGTTCTCTCATCTTGACTTTCGTTTCATTTTTAGAATGGAAATGTTGGTGTTTGGCATCTGAAAGGTAACTTTTTGGTTAAGTATTGAACAGTCAGCGAGGAGGAATAAAGGGTTCTCTGAAAAGTGACCCCGGGTAATCGTATCGTCTGTTCTAACTGGGCAGGTCTTGGCGGGAGGACACGCTCCAGCCACAAACCTTCAGTAAGAGGTTGTCTTTGCCGGAAGCCGCCCTGTGCATTATTATTCTTTGCACCTGGGTCACCACACCTGTGACCTGCCCAAACCAACCCCTTTTCATTTTCAGGCCCCTGGAGGTTTAACCACCTACCCTCCAGGGAGCACATAATCTTTTTAATAGTTTGGATACACGCCTTGTTTTCTCCGATCTTTTAAATTTTTTTTCTATTGATTTCAGAGAGGAAACGGGGAGGGAGAGAGAAACATTAATCTGATCTTTATGTAATCTTCCTCCCATCTCCTCCTCAATTGTAAATGCATAGAAAACACAAACCTGTTATCCCGAGAGCATTTGAGAACTTGCCTCCCAGCTTATGTCCTGGTGTACAGTTCTCTAAAGGTTTGGCGATTTCTTAGGCGGACAACTGCAATTTCCTAAGTAGAGTAATCTTCACTCCCCCGTGGTTTATTCTCCCCAGTGACCTTGAACCTTTCAATCTGGTATTTCGCAAACTGGTCCTACCTTCCTTGGCTTTCATCATGTCCGTATCTCTATATCAAAAGCAAGTGTTTGATTTCTGTCGTCAATGCTAAGTTTACATGGTAACAGTTAAATGTGTATACAGAGTGGTGCAAAAGTAGGTTTACAGTTGTGGGTATGCAGAACACAGAGTTTATTCTTGTATTATTATTATTTATTAGTGATTGTATTCTCATTCATATGAGCAACTGTAAGCCTCCTTTTGCCCCACCCTGTGTTTCCCAGATTTAACCATCAGTCTACATCACACTTCCACCCCCCACACACAGTTCCCCCTCGGACCACAGTTTCTGGAAAAGTATTCAGAACCACCTTTGAGCATTTGAAATGTGGCTGAAGGTGAGGAACCGAAATTTAAATTTTATGTAATTTTATTTGCTGTTTTCAATTTAAAAGCAGATGCTGCACTGAGTTATTGAGACTGTTGAGCTACATTTGAACCACTTGGGCACGTGGAATTAATTTTCTCGGCAGGACAATTTGGGGAATGTAAATGTATGTCAAGTATTTCGAGAAAAAAATGATACCCGATTGCATAAAACATGCACCCAGTTTGGAAGATTTAGGCTGAAAAGAAGGGATGTAAAATATTACAATAATAATGGTTACGTTTTGAAATAAGAGTGTTTTGGATATTTCGGGTTAAATACAACATAAATCATGGGGCCAAAGGCAGTCGGGTAACTGAGGCTTGTCTGCCACCCTTAGCTCAGGAGTGGAACAGGGAACCAGGGCTTCAGGGCGGAGGGAGGGCACGTCACCAGGAGGAGCAGGGGTGGGTCATCGGATGTCTCCTGCCCTCGGGCACTCGGTCACTCGGATGGGAGTTATCTGCTGCAGTGGATCGCTTTCGGGGACAGGCCCCTGTTTAAATTCTTTCCGGTAGGTGAGGAAGAGGCACACGGTTTTAGTGCTTCTGCTGGGAGTCGATTGACTGTAGCTCACAATAATCCATGTGGCAAAGTGGCTCGTTTTGAGGTGGCATAGTCTGCAAGTCAGGATGGATACTAGAAAGATGCTGACCTTAGAATCATTCAAGGGCAGGGTATCAGGAGTTGAAAGCTACTTGCAATCAATGTGGCTAACCTTTTTGTTCCAAATGGGTTTGTTTTTTGAGAGTAAGCATCCAAACCTGATTATTAAAGCAATTATTGTCTAAGAGAACTTAAGCTTCTGTACAAGAGACTTTGCTTTCCAGTAGTGCAAAAAAGAAGACAAGCAACCATTCAGGGGAAGTACAAAAGCACGTCCATGAAAAAAATGTATTGTTTCTGGAATTTAGGTAAAGACCAAGAGAAACGGAGATAAGAAAGTCAGGTTTCACCCCAGCTGGTTTGGTTCGGTGGATAGAGCCTGGGCCTGAGGACTGAAAAGTCCCAGGTTAATTCCGGTCTGTGGCGAGCCGGCACGGCCATGGCATACTCAGCCCCAGGGCGCCTTCTGTGCCACGCCACTCAGCCAGGTTCAGTGAGCCCGAGTGGGGGTGAGGAAGGATGGAGAAAAGACAAGAGAATGAGCTGGGTCTGGGTGGCACGTTGCTCCCGGATGGAGACAGCGGCACGAACTACAAGACGTGTCTTTATTTTAAAGCCAGATTCCACCCGGCAAAGTAAGGGCATGATCAAGATGTTTACAACATTCTCGTGGGTTTCGAGTCTACTCAATTACATGCACCTGAACTCTATCAAGCCCACATCACTCAGACACGTGGGGCCACGTGTTCGAACCATAGGTTCAAGCTCACAACTATAGCTGTTGGCTATAATTGTGCTGGGAGGGCTCTGCCCTCCAAGCTGAGACTTGCACGTGGCCATGAGAGGACTGTGCCCTCTCATTAGTCCGAGGCTTGAACCTGTCCAAATACTGTAGCCACTTTCCACAGCAGTCAAGGGCACATGCCAGGGTTGAGGACTTGGTCCTCAGTAGGGGGTGTGCAGGAGGCAGTTGATCAATGATTCTCTCTCATCATTGATGTTTCTCTCTCTCCCTTCCTCTCTGAAATCAATAAAAATATATTTAAAAAAAAAAGAAAATCAGGTTTCACTGGGGGGATAAGGACACATATGTAATACCTTAATAAAGAAAAAAATTAAAAAAAAGAAAATCAGGTTTACTAGTATGAACATGTATAGTTCATACACCAGGTATACCTGGGAGAGACCCATTAAAGATTAATTCATAGATGTGGCTGAGAGCTCCCGTGTATAAAGCATCTTCAACAAAGTACAGTCCATTTTTTTTTTTTACAGAAAAAAACAGGAGAAAGGATGCAGCTTTAGGCTTCTAAGGATGGCAAACTGGGGAGGTGAAATATATGTGAGGAAAGCAAGAGTCAGCTTCGTTTGCAGATTCCTCCTGTGCCCGTGGGCTGTCACCAGTCACTGAGGACCCAGTGGTCTCCACAATGTATGTCCTGACTTCAGGCAGGAAAGGGGGATGGAAGAGAGAGCTCATCCTGCACCTGATGCTTCAGCTCAAAATGACTTCTGTGTCCCAGAGGCATACTGTGGGGTGGCTACTCCGGTGTCCTTCACTTTCCTGTAAACAGTCTTGACAATCTCCTTTTGAACTAGCTTTTCTCCCCGATGGTTCCCTTAACAATTAATTCTCCGTAAGAAACATTTACTGTGCTTTTGAGGCGTGGTGCATGGTTTTGGATTTTGCATGTTGGTAGCTGTCATAAGCTCAGTGCACAGACCAGTTTCTCTGTGACAGAAACCAGGCCTCCATGTGCTGTTGAGGCCGCCACAGCGAAGCCAGTGAACGAGAGGCTCGCTGACGTACTCCTCTCGTTTGATTTTCCTGCACTCGGACCCGAGGATTGCAAGTCTGTTTCTTTCTCACTACAGGAGGGTGTACAACTGCACATGACTTCGGTGAGTTTGCAATGAGCCTGTGTCAGTTCAGGGGTCACAACAGGCTGAGCCGTGAGCTAGAGACCAGGACACTGGCCCAGAGCACTGGTGGGGGTTCCGGCTTTATTTGCAGGAACAGGCCAGTCTGGTTCTTAGGCCCCCGGCTGTGCTTGAACTGGTCTTGTTTGCTTCCTTGAGAAATGTGGTCAGCTTCCCACTAAAGGCGGATATAAAATGAAAAATGTCTTTTGAGTTTATACTCCACTTCAAAATGAGTCCATGAAAGCCAGGTTTCATTCAGTGCTGACTTTAGAGGGCTTCATTCATTGTTTTCTGACGAGACAAATGACCAGGGGACGAAAAAATGTTAAGAAAGCCATCACCAGTGAAATTTAAAAAGCCCGCCCTGACGTGTGATTGGTCAGCTACCCCTCCTTTGTTCTATCATTTCTTTTATCCATACTTGAGGCTGACAGTGAGTTTACTGGAACATGCAGCATATATGTGAGAAATACCCAGCAGACATGTTCGCAGAACAATTCCTAGCATGTCACGGGCAGCCCTAACTGATGTCCTGGCACGCAGTTGCAATTGCCTTCGGTCCAAGGGAACGCCAGAAATTAGTTTCATGAATCTTTTCTAACATCTTTGCAGTGTGACCGATGGCTTAAAAAAATGAAGCACTTTGTGGCGGATCCATTAAAACCTTACCAAGCAGCTGTGAGCAAAGTGTAGATTCAGACACGGCTCCTGGCCTGAAAGACTTCACCTTCTCAGGAAAAGTGGGCAGCTCGTCCCCTTCATACTGGGGGGTGCTAGAAACCGAAGCCTTTCACTTTCAACCCCGAAGCGTGTTGCATTGATCGCCTTAATTATAATATGGAGCGCCTACAGCACGTTCACTTATGGTGACTTGGTTTTCATTGCAACTTTCAAGTGGCTAGAGATTGCTGCAAGCATGATTTCAATTAGCTGACAAGGCCGGGAAAATGCAAGCCCTTTCAGAGAGAAGGTGGGTGGCTCTGAAAAGAGCCTTTCGTTTAGATGTTGCCATTTGCTCCTCACTTGCCCTTGGCCTTGTGGTGGCTCTCGGTCTTCTTGGGCAGCAGCACGGCCTGGATGTTGGGCAGCACGCCGCCCTGCGCGATGGTCACCTTGCCCAGCAGCTTGTTGAGCTCCTCGTCGTTGCGGATGGCCAGCTGCAGGTGGCGCGGGATGATGCGCGTCTTCTTGTTGTCGCGGGCCGCGTTGCCCGCCAGCTCCAGGATCTCGGCCGTCAGGTACTCCAGCACGGCCGCCAGGTACACGGGCGCGCCCGCCCCGACGCGCTCGGCGTAGTTGCCCTTGCGGAGCAGCCGGTGCACGCGGCCCACGGGGAACTGCAGCCCGGCCCGCGAGGACCGCGTCTTGGCCTTGGCGCGCGCCTTGCCGCCCTGCTTGCCGCGTCCAGACATGCTGACCAGTAACAGGAGGAGAACAGCCACACGAAGGAAAAAAGGAGAAATGTCCGGGAGGAAGCAACAGGACGCAAGTTATAGTCCTGGGCGGGATTGTTAAACGCGAGATGGGATTGGTTCAAAATTATCTCAGTCCCCTCCGACCAATGAGAAAGGTGATATGATGCAAGTGAATTTACATGAGCTCGTCACTGACACATCATCAAATCAGATCTGGAGATGCTTGAGGACCTCATTTGCATAAATTCTCTATAAAAGAAGACGCTGTAGACCCAGGCGGACATTTTACAGTTTTCCGCTTTCCTTTGCAGCTTTTCTCTTTTGCGTTAAAATGCCGGAACCAGCCAAGTCCGCGCCCGCCCCGAAGAAGGGCTCCAAGAAGGCGGTGACCAAGGCGCAGAAGAAGGACGGCAAGAAGCGCAAGCGCAGCCGCAAGGAGAGCTACTCGGTGTACGTGTACAAGGTGCTCAAGCAGGTGCACCCCGACACCGGCATCTCGTCCAAGGCCATGGGCATCATGAACTCGTTCGTCAACGACATCTTCGAGCGCATCGCGGGCGAGGCGTCGCGCCTGGCGCATTACAACAAGCGCTCGACCATCACGTCCCGCGAGATCCAGACGGCCGTGCTCCTGCTGCTTCCCGGCGAGCTGGCCAAGCACGCCGTGTCCGAGGGCACCAAGGCCGTCACCAAGTACACCAGCTCCAAGTGAGGCGCGAGCGAGCGGCCTGACTCCTGACCCCAAAGGCTCTTTTCAGAGCCACCCACGTTCTCAGCATAAGAGTTGTAAGGGCTTCACTGGCCACTCTGACTACTAAACAGGATGCCAAACTGGTATCGTTTTGATTATATTTATCAAAGTGTCTTGATGTCTTGTGCTTGCAACGCGAAACACACTAGGACAGACGTTTGGTTAAAAATAAGGGGGGTATTTAACTGGTTTAGTTGCAGACTTTTAATTTCTTCCACTGGGCACTTTGGCTACAAAGGTGGCTAAAGCACTGACATGCTGTCTCAAGTGCTGTGAATTCCTTGCATGGAAAGGGAAGAGGACTTAGGTTTGTCGATAATCCTTAGTGGTCAGGGAAAGAGCCTCATCCTAGTTCCAGTGGGTGTGTTTGCTTCAAGCAGCATAACTTCCCAAAACAACACGTGCAGGGTGGTTAATGAGCATGAAAGTTGAAAAGGGTCTCATTGGCTCCAGGTTAGTTCACGAATCCCCTGAAATTGTTTACAATAGTGCATCCGCCTACATGTTCTTCCCCTCCCCCACCCCCCACCCCGACCAGAAAAGGAACTGACTGGCTTTGTTTCCAGTTCTAAACGTGCTGTAATGCAGGGAGCCAGGCAGAATATGCCGCCCTGGTGTACCCACCTCCTGCGCTTTGGATTCTGTGATGGGTTAGGTTACCTGACAAAGGCACTGCCGCTGCAGCTGAAACAGGTGGCTGCCAATTCCCTGTAATTTAAAATGAGATGCTCCAGGTGATCCCAGTGAGGCAATCACAGTGCTGAACTAGTCAGGTGGCAGCGGGAGGAGGATTTGCCCAGAGACCTGCTTTGGAAATAAAGAGGCCATAAGATCAGGGAGGAGGGAGCCCTCCAAGAGCTGGAATGGGGAGCAAACAGTGTCGTTTGCAGCCCCACAAGGGAACGCAGCCCCCCGACACCTTGGTTTTAGCTCAAGGACACCCAGGTGCAAATGCTGATCTACACAACTATAAAGTTTTAAGTGTGTATTTCACCAAGATTGTGATAATTCATCGACCGACAATAGAAAATGAATGCCCTTACATACATTTAGTAAGTATTGCCTAATGTGTTCTGTGATGTTTTTAAGATTATAAATTTATACCTGTAACTATTATAAAAATCAATATAGATGCCTGTGAACTTTATAAATATTTCAGGCTCTCATGATTTTGAAATTGATCTTATTTGAACAGCAACCTGCATTTTCTTTTATATGGGAGTCTACACTGTCTGAAGATAGCAGCAGAAGTCTAATTGTATGGAGAAGTACTTCGTCTACAGCAGTATTATTACTTCTGCTTATACTACTGCTTCAAAAAGCTGGTCTTCATTATAGGCAAACTATAGGAGTCATGGTAAAATGTCCATAAATAACTTTGTGAACTGTAAATCTCCCTAAAATATTTAAATTTATTATAATGCTTTCATGTGTTTTAATACAAGTGGCAGCGAAGTAGATTTTAGGAATATTTTCACTTCATAAGTGTTAGGGTCGCCAAAGGAGGAACGCACAAGGCCAAAAGTGGTAAGGAATTATAATTTTTGAGGCCATCTGGATAGCAGATGGGCTGAGCCCCCAAGTGGTGCCAGCACCCAGGGATGGGGTAGGGGGTTGTCAGAGATTTTAATGGACTCTAGGGCTTTTTCTAGGCGGAGAATTCTCTGGGCGGGTCTAGAGGGGAAAGGTAATGGCCTTGGCAAGTGGACTGTGGTGTAAGAGAAAGGGAATGTGGGTTGTGAATTCATCTAAAGGCCAGTTCCTAGGGGAGGGCTATGGATTCAATGAGCTGATCAGACCTAACAATAAGTAAAACAACCGAGGGTGTGAGAACCAAAGTTCATGGACCTGGCAGGACTCAAGTTCCAACCCCAGTCTTCTGATGCTATGGCCGTCCAAAGACGTCTACATAGAATTAAAAAACACTTTTAAAGAGATCTACGGATTTCTTAGCACCTTGGGAAGTACCTTTACATAGGGTTTCTCCTCCCCCAGCACCCGCTTCCTGTTTTCTTGGTGTGTGTGTTCCAATTCATCTTTCATGTTTCCTGAGTCGGCCAACAGGGAAGCTTGGCTAGGCTCAGAGGTGGGCCTGCAGCCTGCACTTCCCTCTGGGTCCCGGGGAGGTGAGGGTGATAAGCCCTCCCCAGCAGGCCCCCTCCAGAAAAAGGACCATGTCTTCTAGGATGACCAACGTGCCTGAGGCTGAGAAGGGCACCCTAAGCATATTGTTTAAGATGTAAAATAGAACCAGGCGAGGTGCCCTGGTGTCCGGAAAACAGAAAACGACAGGTTATTTTTACGAAGATAATTTAATGAACGTGACACAGGTTTTGGGAAACTGAAAAGCAAGAGAGAACTGGTGTGCCAAGGTCAAGGGGAGGAAGCAGGAGCCAGAGCAGGGCTCAGAGCGCGCACACACACGTCAGTTATTAAAGTCTAGAAATCTGGAGGGGAGTCCAGGTAGAGAGAAGGCTCAGATCTTGGGAGCAGGCGCTTATAAAGCTGATGCTGGAAGCCTAGAATCCAGACTGGGGGTCGGGGGGTGGGGGGCAAAGGCAGGAACTGGAACCAGTTGTTGTGATAGAGGGGAGGGCATGTCATCAGAATGGAGCCGCCATTGTCTGATAATTCTCCTCACTATGGTGAGAAGTTCTCTTACGGACCCTGGGACACTGGAGGCTGGAAAAAGGTAAGATGCCGCCATGGGTCCATGACTCAGAAAACAGACACATTGGAGAACAGACCAAGGACAGGACACGCTTGGACTGGGTGGCTGTGCTGGGACCCCGGCCCCTCCGGGAGTGTTTCTCAGGAGCGCCGACCATTCTCTGGGCCCAGGAACAGGCTGAGCTGTTGGTAACATCACCGATTAGACACCTTGTTATCGGGCTGTGAGCTCCTCAAGGCCGGACTGCAGACTCTACCCTCCCGTTTCCCTGCTACACATGCAGCCCGCAGCGCGTAGCTATCTTCTCCCTCGTGTGCATCGTGTGCATCTAACCAGCCAACTGCGCTGGGGGGGGGGGGGGGGGGGGGGCGGTAGTCAGAGTAGATTCTTGTGGGTGGCCTGCTGGTCTCCCTGATGCCGGCAGGATTGGAATAAACGCTCATATGGGATTCAACCCCGTCTCTGCTTAATTGGCAGAAGTAGTGACCGGCAGCCCAGATGGACCCCTTGGTTGTCTGGTTACAGTTGCCCCAGAAGGTGAGACCAGAGCTGACACAGAAGCAAACTAGAGCGCCCCCTTGTAACTGCCCCCGGCCAGCCCCGCTAGCTGTGCCTAGAAGCGACTGCAAATGAGTGTGGTGCGCACAACTCCAGCCTGTTTGCCCTAAAAACAGCAAGTCCCGGGAGCACTCCAGGCAGAGGAACAGGCCTACTGTACTGAGTACGCGGGGCTCCCATACAGGTCTTCCTTGAATGGACAAAGGCCTCAGCAAATTCAGGAGTCATTGTGCTTGGAACAGAAAGGCATGCAATTCTTTTGCTGAGACTGTAAGCGGCTCTGGAAAGAACCCTGAGTTAGGCGTCCACACCCTTAGATAAAACGCTTAGCAAGGGCTCTAAAGGCCGCGGGCACAGGGCGGGGGATGGGGAAGTCACTGGAGCCACACAAAGGACGGCGGGCGCAGAGCCACAGCGACACCTAGAGGACGCTCGCGGAGGCTGCCAGTGAGACGCTTCGGGGTGACGCTTTACTAAAACAGACCAGACATTTCAGGGTCGATTTGGAAGCTTTATAAAGCGTCTCCTCCAGCCCACACAGTCCCTGCGAAAACGTTAAAAAATGGTGACAAGCAGCTTGAGGGGATTAGATAGTGAGACGTGGGTTTCCGTCCACGCTCACATACAATCATGGGAGCCTCGTGCTGGGCACTATTGTCCAGAGAGGTGGCCCTGCACCTACCACCTGGGGGACTCGGGGATCCCCTCCCGAATGTTGACAGGAATGCTCAGGACTTGGACTTGCCAGTGCACAGCTCTCTATGGGAAAACGTGGGTGGCTCTGAAAAGAGCCTTTGGGGTCAGGAGTCAGGCCGCTCGCTCGCGCGTCTACTTGGAGCTGGTGTACTTGGTGACGGCCTTGGTGCCCTCGGACACGGCGTGCTTGGCCAGCTCGCCGGGCAGCAGCAGGCGCACGGCCGTCTGGATCTCGCGGGACGTGATGGTCGAGCGCTTGTTGTAATGCGCCAGGCGCGACGCCTCGCCCGCGATGCGCTCGAAGATGTCGTTGACGAACGAGTTCATGATGCCCATGGCCTTGGACGAGATGCCGGTGTCGGGGTGCACCTGCTTGAGCACCTTGTACACGTACACCGAGTAGCTCTCCTTGCGGCTGCGCTTGCGCTTCTTGCCGTCCTTCTTCTGCGCCTTGGTCACCGCCTTCTTGGAGCCCTTCTTCGGGGCGGGAGCGGACTTGGCGGGCTCGGGCATGGTCGGGAGCTCAGCAGACTCGTTCAGCTGCAGAATGCAGTGGATAGAGGAGAGTTTGACTTATCCGCCCTATATACGAAGTGGTATGCAAATAAGGTGTTAAATTCTTGTGTGTAATTCGTGCATATTCAGAGTGACGTCATAAGGTCTTCCCAATCAGAATGCCAAGTAGAGCTGCAGATTTAGCCAATGACACAACTGCTTTTTCGCGCCCAGACATGTTTATAAAAAGTGCCACCGCTTCAGTTTCATTTTGCTGTTTGCTTTTTGTTGACACATTAAGTTCAACATGTCCGGACGCGGAAAGCAAGGAGGCAAGGCGCGCGCCAAGGCCAAGACGCGGGGCCCGCGACAACAAGAAGACGCGCATCATCCCGCGCCACCTGCAGCTGGCCATCCGCAACGACGAGGAGCTCAACAAGCTGCTGGGCAAGGTGACCATCGCGCAGGGCGGCGTGCTGCCCAACATCCAGGCCGTGCTGCTGCCCAAGAAGACCGAGAGCCACCACAAGGCCAAGGGCAAGTAAGGACCCTGCGTTCCTTTGGCAACAACGCAAACATCTAAACCAAAGGCTCTTTTCAGAGCCACCCACCTTCGCACTGAAAGGGCTTGCATTTTTTTTTTTTCCATAAGCAGCTGCTGGAAAATGGTTTTCACCGTGTTTGGTCAGTAGGTGTCAGTAAACACCTATAAGAGCGAAATTAACTAACCTCTGAAAAGATACATTAAAAGGAGAAGTTATCAGCCAAGTAGAAACAAAAGGTGTTTGGTTTCAGGTAATCAAGGCGATCGCTGTAGCAATACCTCAAGGTTAAGATAAGAAATACATTGTATATAAAGAGGATGTTTGGTCAAAGGTGACTATTCAAATGCAAATGTAGTTAATGACCCGCCGCAATAAACCACCTTTTCAGTCTCTTGTTGGGTAGTTTTGCATTTTAATAGGACAAATCACCTGTAAGTCGGTCTGCAACACTGCTTGGGCCTTAACCGTTTGCAAATAGGAAAACAATACTTTATGTGCCCGCAGTCATGCCCTTTTCTTTATTTTTCATTTTTGTTTATGCTATTACACGTATCCTCTTCCCGCCTCCACCCTCATGTCCTTAGGCAGAACTTAACACAGGCTTCAGCGTTACTTTAAAAAGGCTTAGTAACCTTTGCAACATTCAAAAACTTGAGTATTTTCTAAAGATTTTACACAGGCCTCAGGTAAAAGTGTCAAACTTTTTTCTGTGAGGATGCTGATTAATAGGGAATACATATATTAATGTAGTTAGAACAGAAAATAAAATCACTTCAATTAATGGTCTTGTTGCATTTAGGGAAAGTATATGAAGACAGAACATTTAAAAATCTCCAAGTTGGGGGTGGGGAGTGGGAAAGTATAAGGTCATATGGGGAAATCAAGAAATTTATGTTGAAATCCGTCTTCCTAAACTTGAATGAGGCAAAAACATGTCACTTAGCCAATCACATTTAGCGCGCGCCTTTTCAAAAGGAACACAGGAAAGGCAGTTTAAGCGCCAAAATGTACAATTCTTATCAAGCGAACAACATATGTCTGTGATAATTTGTGCGGGGATAAAGCCACAATATTGTGAAAGAGACGGTATAAAGACGATAGAGGAGAAAAACGGTAGATAGAAAACCCTTTCTGAAAGGGTGCTTGGGAGGAAAAAGTTAATTTTCGGTCTTAACCCACCGCGCCGGCCACGGGCGGCGTGAAGAAGCCGCACCGCTACCGGCCCGGCACCGTGGCCCTGCGCGAGATCCGCCGCTACCAGAAGTCCACGGAGCTGCTGATCCGCAAGCTGCCCTTCCAGCGCCTGGTGCGCGAGATCGCGCAGGACTTCAAGACCGACCTGCGCTTCCAGAGCTCGGCCGTCATGGCGCTGCAGGAGGCGTGCGAGGCCTACCTGGTGGGGCTGTTCGAGGACACCAACCTGTGCGCCATCCACGCCAAGCGCGTCACCATCATGCCCAAGGACATCCAGCTCGCGCGCCGCATCCGCGGCGAGAGGGCGTAAACTTTACCCAAAGTACAACGAAAACCCAAAGGCTCTTTTCAGAGCCACCCACAATTTCAATTAGAAGTGCTGTAGGCAAAAGGGTGGGACTTAGTCACCTTCAGGGACTCGGTTTATAACCAGCTAGTTATTTCAAGGTAACTTGTGCTGCTGCCCTGCACCATGTTTGTGAAAGGTTCTATCATATTTATCTGATGTAGCCGAAATCCTGTGCTGTTTAAATCCTCACTCCGTGGGACAACACTTCACAAGCAGACCCCGAACCCCTCCGGGCGATGCGGGAGTGTAATTTTGCAATATTAGCAATGGGAGAGCTCCTAGCCTCGGGCAATAGGTAAACACTAGGTAGGAAGTCGCTCAGGGCATAGAGTCAAAGTAGCTTAGCGCACCGTTTTCACCCCGAAGCAAGATTGGTGAAATGTGACTTCAACGTGTGTATGAAAAGGGGTATAAGGTTCCACTTTAAGGCTCAACGCAGTAAATACAAGTCGGAAAAACACACGCTGAAAGCTGTAGTGGGAAATGGTTTAATCCTCACAATTATTAACAGCTCCTTTTTTTTTTTTTTAAGTGCATGCCAGTTCGTGTACTTTTGATTCACAAGTTCTCACATGGTATCACAACTTCTATTCAGCAGTAAAGGCCTCTCTGGATACCTGGCTGGGTCTCAAGGGCAAAATAGTGGAGCCCTGGAAAAGCGAGCGGCACTCAACCTTAAACCCCAAAAGCACTTTAGCGCCCCCTTCACTGGGAAAGTAAACGTGTACTTACTCTTAACACACAGACCACCAAGCACCAGGCGTAACGCATAAGAACAGCCTCAGGTCCGCCGCCTCCCACCCCATCCAGGGAATGTGGTGTCACCAGCTCTTTGTCGGATGACGTGGGTGGCTCTGAAAAGAGCCTTTGTATTCACGGAGTCAGTCGGGTCCTCACTTCTTGGGGGCGGCCTTCTTGGGCTTGGCAGCTTTCGGCTTGGGCGCCTTGGCCTTGGCGGCTTTGGCCTTGGCCGGGCTCTTCGCCGGCTTCTTGGGCTTGGCGGCCTTCACCTTCTTGGGGCTCTTGGCTGCTTTCTTGGCTCCCGCCGCCGCCGCCGGCTTCTTGGGCTTCTTCGGGGTCTTCTTGGCGCTCTTCTTGGGGGTGGCGGACCCCGCGGGCTTCTTGGGCTTCTTAGCCGCGCCTGCGGGTTTCCTGGGCTTGGCCGCACCCGCCTTCTTGGCCTTGGGCTTGGCCTCCCCGGAGGCCGCCTTCTTGTTGAGCTTGAAGGAGCCCGAGGCGCCGGTGCCCTTGGTCTGCAGCAGGGTGCCCTTGCTCACCAGGCTCTTGAGGCCCAGCTTGATGCGGCTGTTGTTCTTGTCCACGTCGTAGCCCGCGGCCGCCAGCGCCTTCTTGAGCGCGGCCAGCGACATGCCCGCCCGCTCCTGGGACAGCGACAAGGCCTCCGTGATCACCTTGGACACCGACGGGCTTGGCGTCTTGCGATTCACACCCGCCAGGCCCACCTGCTTCTTCCCTCGCTTCTTGATGTTGCGTCTTCTCCGCAGAAGGAGCGGGAGGCGCGGTCGGTGCGGTCTCGGACATGGTTGTTGGCGAGAGTACCTGGCAGATTAAAAAAAATTAGTCTGCGAGTGGCGCGGCCGGTGCGGAGAGTGTCTATATAAACACACAGCCACGCCGCGCGCTGATTGGTTCCCAGCTCCCTCTTCCGCCCCAGAGCAACTGGGTCTCAGCTCCGTCTCGGAATTGTGTTTGTTCCATTCCAGGAAAGCCAAAAAATTAAAATTTCCTGTGGAAGAACCACAGCAATTTTACTCTACAATCCTCTGGGACACCTCAAGCTTTGAGGCCGTCATACTGTCGCCTTTCGATTAGCATCACGTCGGTCTCAGCCTTTGTCAAAAGCCCCCGACACTCTGAGAGATTCACAGGTCGGACAGTCCACTTGTTGATTTTCGTTTAAAATATAAAATTTTCCCTTTGTGTCTCCAATATCTTGCCCCCCAGTAATGTTCTATACCTTCTTGGCTTGTCATACATGTCAGCATCTGCTGCATTCTCCTGGAGATTTACCCAGAAAAGCGCCTTCCTAGGAGAAGAAATAGCACAGGCTCTCTCAGGATTTCTCTACAAGAGCAGTCCTAAAGGGTGCTTGGAATACCAGTGATTTTTCATCAGAAAAGCCTTTGATTTGTCTGAAAAAGCTTTAGCATAGGTTTTGGTGACTATTTTGGACTGTGAGGAGTCAATATTTATTGAAGAAAATGGGGGGTGTAATATTCAATGCTTGTCCTGTCAGGGCAGTTGGGCCTGTTATGGTAGCTGATGGCAGAGTAGCTCCAGGTAAAGGCATAAAGAGGGTTGGTTCCTTTTACAGGTTAAAAAAATGCTTGTGGGGTGTTTTTTTTGTTGTTGTTGTTTTTAAGAGGGTGATGTTAATCAAATGTTTATGAGCTTTTGGGCACAGAAGTCTGTTAAGCTTGGGGAAGATACATTTGGCAAGAATTCAAGTAACAGCAGCATTAAGGAATATACACAGCACACACACTCACTTAGGTAGGATTCCTTTAGGACAGGGACATGTAAAAGCAAGAATGTTCTATAGCTACTACTAAAATTATTATTTAAGAACGGATATAGGCTTATAGGCAGCACATTACAGCTTATGCTTTCTGTTCAGTAAGATACAGGCTGGTGGTAGAGTTGTTAGGACAAGAGTCGCACTGAATGCTATTTTTGCTAAATGCTGAAATAAAGCACAGTGCTTTGTAGACACAGAAATAGCCAAGGAGCTTGACAGGAATCAAATCTGGTTCATGAACAGCAAAGGAGAAATCAACATGTAATTAACCAAATGGTCTATGAGCACTGACTAAGCCTCCTTCAGGGGACAGAGCTTTGGCTACGAATCCCTGCCTCCTCCACCTGCTGCAAATAAATAAAAGGACAGGCCCACAGCTGTCTTTCTTCAATCGAACAGCCCAAGCAAACGGCGAACTCCTTGAGTTTGGTAACAGTGATTTGATTTTCTTTTTCGCTCCTCATGCTCTTTGCTTGTCTTCAACAAGCTCAAGGCTGTGTTCCACCGGGACTATGAAAGGGAAGTGCTGGGATACAATACAGCAAAGCACAGAAAGTTATGCTTTCTCCTTGATCCACTGATGTTTCTGTTACATCAATGTTTTCTCTCTCTCTCTCTCAGCAATAAAAAACATATCTTCAGGTAGGATTAAAAAATGTTTGTAAATCAATAAATAAAATTAAAAAAATACATAGGATTACAAAAACACCATATTAAACTACCGTTATTAAATTTATCAAAAGTACAAATCAGTCAAGTATAACATGTATTAACGTATGTGCTTCTTTATCAATACATTAAACAAGATTGCCCATATGACCAAGAATTAGAGTTTGATGGAGTGATATATTTAAATGTTTTGAGCTATCAACTGCTGTAGATGCATTGTGATATGACTGTAGCACAGGTCCAGCCAATTATACTGTTAACTGTTTTCATAAACAGAGGAAATGCTACCATTCTGTTTGGGGGATACTAAGCATAATGATCAAGGTGTTTTTTTTTATAGACAAGTTCCCAGATCCTCTGAATCCTGTCTGAATTCCCAGGTTAAGAACTCCACTCTGGAATTTGTTTCCATACAGTGTGTTTTTTGTTGTTGCTTTCTTTAAAAAAATATTTTTAAAACTTAAAAATATTTTTTATCGAATTTTTAGAGAGAGGGAAAGACAGAGAGAAATATCGCCCAGACCATGGAGGAGGGCGCAACCAAGACGTGTATCCTTGACTAGAATCGAACCCAGGACCCAGGATGTATTACATTTTGGCTTTCTCCCATTAACCTGTCGCTGTTAATTGGATTATTAGCCCACCTTGAAATTTGAAGATGGGAGAAATTTTTTTCATGGCCCCACAGAAAGTTTTAGCAGATTAGGATGCTGTCTTAGTACTTATCATTTTAGAGGACTGCATTTTGAGGAGAGGCATAATGAATGATGTGGCTGTTTTATTTGTGTGTGTTTTTTGTTTCTTTGTTTTGTTTTTGGAGATGTTAAACAATTTGCATAGATTAGCTCTATAAGTATCTTTATGAGGAACAACATGCACGAACTCGTGACTTCATATTTTGGGAGCCCTGAAGGACAAGTGTCAGGCTTCCTTGTGGAAAGTGTATGGAACGGCCCGCTTAAAGGCTTCAGGTATTGTATGCAAACTACACATATCCACATACCATAGCCTTTATGAGGTTCCCCCTCCCGGACTCAGCGTGGCTTCCGGCGCAACACCGGGTTTCCACAGCTCGGAGCGGGGACAATGTGCAAAGGGCGGGAACGGAGTGGGTCGCCACGCCTGCTATTCAGTTTTCAATCAGGTCCGTCCCTGGACTATAAATTCCCTGAGCGGCGCTCCCCAGGCCATTGTGCTACCAGCTCAGCAGTTGTGAGGCCGCGATGTCTGGACGCGGCAAAGGCGGGAAGGGCCTGGGCAAGGGCGGCGCCAAGCGCCACCGCAAGGTGCTGCGCGACAACATCCAGGGCATCACCAAGCCCGCCATCCGGCGCCTGGCGCGGCGCGGCGGCGTCAAGCGCATCTCCGGGCTCATCTACGAGGAGACGCGCGGGGTGCTCAAGGTCTTCCTGGAGAACGTGATCCGCGACGCCGTCACCTACACGGAGCACGCCAAGCGCAAGACGGTCACGGCCATGGACGTGGTCTACGCGCTCAAGCGCCAGGGCCGCACCCTCTACGGCTTCGGCGGCTGAGCCACCCACCTACTGGCTTCTTCAGCAAAACCAACGGCCCTTTTTAGGGCCACCCATCCGTTCCTTTGAAAGAGCTGTGGCTTTACTTTTCATTGCAGTGCCTTGTCTTTGCGGCGGTTCAGGTAGTCACAGGCTTGTAACTTGTTCCACCTGCGAATGTTTCCCCTCCGAGTTTCTTGGGGGGAGTTAGGCACATTGATGTGGGGAACCCTGCACCCCGGGCGTCGAACCCATTCCCTTCAGTCAGATGGCTGAAGCCCTACCCACTGAGCCAATGGCAATGCTAGTTCGCCATTTTGATATTAAGTGGTGGCGGGAAGCGTGTATAGAACGGAGTGTTTCTCAAATGACAGCGATGCCACTTCTTACTGCATTAACCTGGGCTGTCGTGCCCCTTGTCACTCCCAGAAGTAACCCCCTGCCGGATTCCAGCTAAATGAGTGAAGGGAAGTCGCGGTGTTTTCTGGGGTGCAGTCTGCTCAGCATCACTAGTTCACAGACCATAGGCTTCCAGACCCGAGTGCCCAGCGCATGGACGTTTAACCCGGCATATCTGCTCGGCTTGGCTCAAGTAATGTGTATGTATATGTATTTTAAAGAAAAGCATAGACAAGCATTTTCTATTCCCACATTACTACTTCCCCTCCACGTCCAGACTGGCCCGGGCCCCTCTCCTCCTGACCAGGCGGGCGCGCTGGAGGCTGCAGACAGGAAACCTGGTGAGGAGACCGCGTCCTGGGGACTGTGGTGCAAGTCTGGTTCGTGGGACGAGTCGGAAGTGCGGAAGGGATTGTGTGCTTTGCCATTAAATAAAGACAAACCTAACTCTGAGCGCCTTCCTAAAAGATCAAGGAGATGGAAGCAGGTGCCGTAACCACGGCTCTCCCCGGAGCGCGGCAGGCGCCCAACGCGTCTCTAAAGACCCGGAGAGATAGCGCCGGGCGAGGTCCCGAACGCCCAGGCCCAGGGAGGGGGCGGGAGGAATTAGCGCCGCAGCGACACCTAGAGGCCCCGCCGCGTCTAGCGCGGGCTTTTCAAACGCTGGCGAGGCCCTTCGGCGCCCAGTGATGACGTGTCATCCGAGACCCGAGGCGCCGCGGCCCAGATGGAAGCTGCATGGAGAGCTGCGCCTCCAGCCGACGGGGAAATTGTAAAAGGTGAGCGCGCGCTGGGTCTCAGCCCCACTGGGCTGCACTCCCGGGGTCCAAGCGGGGCAGGGAAGCCAAGGGAGGGGGGACACACGAGGGGGCGGGGACGCCCTCCGGAACGTTGGCCCCAAGGCTCAGCCCCAGGACTGGTCAGTGCACAGCCTTTTATGGGAAAACGTGGGTGGCTCTGAAAAGAGCCTTTGGGTCAGGAGTCAGGCCGCTCGCTCGCGCCTCACTTGGAGCTGGTGTACTTGGTGACGGCCTTGGTGCCCTCGGACACGGCGTGCTTGGCCAGCTCGCCGGGCAGCAGCAGGCGCACGGCCGTCTGGATCTCGCGGGACGTGATGGTCGAGCGCTTGTTGTAATGCGCCAGGCGCGACGCCTCGCCCGCGATGCGCTCGAAGATGTCGTTGACGAACGAGTTCATGATGCCCATGGCCTTGGACGAGATGCCGGTGTCGGGGTGCACCTGCTTGAGCACCTTGTACACGTACACCGAGTAGCTCTCCTTGCGGCTGCGCTTGCGCTTCTTGCCGTCCTTCTTCTGCGCCTTGGTCACCGCCTTCTTGGAGCCCTTCTTGGGGGCGGGCGCGGACTTGGCGGGCTCGGGCATGGTCGGGAGCTCAAGGGATGCCTCTGGCGAGAGGAGTGAGTAGAGAAAGACGGATGGATCCCTTTTATATAGAACTTGGTGTGCACATATAAAGCAAAGTCTTGTGTCTGATTGGTGGATATTCAAAGTGACGTCAAAAATTATCTCTGTCCAATCTGAACGCGAGTCCCAAATTTGAATTTTCAGTGATTTAAGATGAAGCTGCAATCTTTTCCCCACTGATAAAATCAAGGTATTTAGATGAACCATCACGATTTCTCTTGTTTAATTTTTAAAGAATGTTCGACTACCCTATCTTTTTTTCCATTTTACATATTTTTTTTTTTATTGTGGACAGTGTTAGAGATATCTCCCATTTCCTCCTCTCCTCTATCTCTCACCTCCTCCCAGGGCCTACCCACCCCCAGGTCTTCACCACCCTATTGCCCATGGGCTACGCATGTAAGTGTATAAGTTCTTTGGTTTATCTCTTCTCTGGTTTCCCCCACCCTACATCGAGGTATGTCCATCTCCTCCATCCCTCCCTGCTTCGGGGCTTATTTTGTTCAGTTCATTTGTTCATTAGACTCCACAAATAAGTGGTATCATGTGATATTTGTCTCTCAGTTTGGCTGCAATCTTAAGCAATGACACAATTCTTTTTCACGCCCAAGTAGGTTTATAAAATGTGCCGCCCCTGCCTTTTCCTCTGTTTCCTTGTTGGGGGCGGGAGTCAGCACTGCAAGGCGCCAAGGGTCCTGTTCCTTTGAATCTCTAAGCTACAGGGGTGAGCGGAGGAAGGACAGGGAAAAAAAAGGGTGGTTCCCCATCATCCAGACTCGCCCGAGGGCAGTGTTGTTTCACGAAGCAGAAACATAAAGTGAACTTAAAGGGCCGGGAATAAACCCGGGAGAAAGCACAATAACATTACTTGAGATAAGGGAGGAGTTTGTTGGCCAATATGGTTACAGTGCTTCATACTGACAAGTGTCAAATCATTTCCAGTCTAGTCACAGAGGAGGATCACATAGTTCCTCAGTCTAACTTGTGAAGGAAGCCGGTGTTTAACGGCTAAAAGAAGTTATCCTCGCCGAAACCGGTTTGGCTCAGTGGATAGAGCGTCGGCCTGCGGACTGAAGGGTCCCAGGTTCGATTCCGGTCAGGGGCATGTCCCTGGGTTGCGGGCACATCCCCAGTA